CATCTGTGAGGGTCTGAGGAGGTTAGCATATTGTGACATGTTTACACGTGGTCTGTGAGGTGGATTTATCAGTGATCTCATCTGGTTTTAACTAAATTAATCCTCATACAATGGACAAGGTATTTAGCAAATTTCCTGAAAAGATATCAAGGATTAAGAGAAGGCCAGTAATGCGGGTAGGCACAGCAAATGGCCAGGCTCTTGCTCCCCTACTCAGAATGGGCTCTCATTATCTTTCTGTCTTGAGTATAAAAGTGTAACAATCTCATTTTGCTTGATAGAAGCTGGCCAAAAAAAAAAAAAAAAATCCAGAATTATCAAGATAATGTTTTGATTTTTTTTTTTTTTTAAGTCAAGGTCTCGCTCTGTCACCCAGGCTGGAGTGCAGTGGCAGGATCACGGCTCACTGCAGTCTTGATCTCCTGGGTTCAAGTGATCCTTTTGCCTCCTGAGTAGCTGGGACTCAGGCATGCCACCATGCCTGGCTAAGATAATTTGAAATATAGTCTCAAGTCTCCTGATGTTAGTACTACTCTGTCTCTCAGGGTGTATTATGCCTTCAGATATTGGCTAGTGATGTTAATGTACATAAATATAATTTATACATAAATAAACAGACATATATTAGAGATGTGTGCTAAAATTCTTTTGTTATTGACAGAAATCAAAGAACTTTGGAGACCACAGCTCTAGGCAATAAGGAGCCAGCAGGAGTTGTTTAAGCAGGAAGAGGAATTGTTTTTGTTTTATTTTGAAAGATCACTCTGGTAGCTGTGTGGATGGAGAGCCTGGGGTAGAGAGAATAGTAGGGAACTCATGCAGAGGTCCAGGTGAGAGATGAGATCCCAAACCCATGGTAGGGCAGCCAGGAGGGCAGAGCAATTTCACATGCATGTTGGACTTGGTGACTGACTAGATTTGGAAAATAAGGGCAAAGAGATCCAATCCCTGGGTACTTCCAGGTGTCTGGGTGATTAGGCAAATAATGGTACCACTTACCAAGGTGGCAGAGGTGGGTTTGGGGAGAAAGATGAAGAGTCTGGGACTGAAAGCTTGAGTCAGAGGTGCCAGGGAGAGCCCTGGGTGGAGGTCATACTTCCTGGGGTCCTGTGGCTGGTTTGGGGCTGCAGCCACCTCTTGCCCAGCAGGGTCCGGGTGAGGGAGCGGGCTGGGTCATGGTCATGATGAGTAAATCAGGCAGTAATGGTGTCCTCTGTCCAGACCTCCTGATTCTAGCCTGGTCACTGGGTGCTGCATCCCAGGTATCAGACCCTGATTGTTATCAGTGAGGGTGTCTAGGTTCTTGGCGCTTCGAACAAAGAATTGGACAAAATGCACAAACAAAGCAAGAAAATAATGAAGCAACAAAAGCAGAGATTTAATGAAAACGAAAGCACACTCCACAGGGTGGGAGTGGGCCGAACAAGCGACTCAAGGGACTGGTTACAGAAGTTTCTGGGGCTTAAATACCCTCTAGAGGTTTCCCGTTGGTTACTTGGTGAACACCCTATGTAAATGAAGTAGAGGATCACAATCAGTCTGATTGGTTGTGGAGAGGGATCAATCAGAGGTTGAAGTGAAATTACAAAGTTACACCCTATGCGAATGTCTGATTGGTCGTGGAAAGTGACCAGAGGCTGAAGTGAAGTTACAAAGTTATACTCCTATGCAAATAAAAACTTGGCCAGCGACCAGCCTGAATGGTTGCGGGAGGGGACCAACTAGAGGTACTTTCAGTTTTTCATCTGCCACAGAAAAGGTAGGGTGGGGGGTGATTACAAAGGGAGTAGCCTCTGGTCTTTTTGTTACTGGAGTGTGAAAGTTGGGGTTTTCCTTTTGATTTAGTTCTAGGAAGTCAGCATAAATTGGCCTTAGGTTCCCTGCCTCCAGGCCCTATTCTCCTGCCTCATGATCACTCTGTATATTTCACTTCTGCAAAACCACTCAAATGCAGGTACCCTGTCTTCCTCCTCCTCTGAGCCATCATGGACGTGACAAGGTTACTTCTTCATGGTGCTCTAGGCCAAAGCATTGGGAAAGCCGGGTTAGGTTGGGAGTGTCCTTGCTGTCATCGGATGCTGAGATAAGCAAAGTGAAATGCAGTGGAGAAGCGGGTGGGGCAGGGCAGGTTTGGGTGCTGTGCAACTGTCTAGGTTGGGGAGGGATAGGTGTTTGACCACTTGTAGATCCAAGCTAATCAGTGTCCAGCAGCCCAGGTCACAGGAACGGCTGTGGGGAACATGAGCAGGTTCTGTGGGGTCACAGGAACGGCTGTGGGGAACATGAGCAGGTTCTTGCCTCTGTGGAGGCCAGCGGGATCTGTGGGTTTTTCCCAGGGTTCAAGTGAAGTATCCTCCACCCCTCCCACTTCCTTTGATCCGACTGTGTTCATCTGGTAACCTAGTTACTGATTCTGCTTCTCAGGAGCACTAATGCCAAGAAGAAGGTAGCTCCAACTGGGGACCTGCCACTCTAGTCCCTGAAATAATTTACTACTTAAAAAATGCAATACATTGGCATAAAAGTAGCTAGAAATGCCACTTATTGAGGGAACACTTGCTAAATGCCTTCTGTGAATCGATCATCCAATCTTTTCAGTCTTGTGAGGTGGGCATTATTTTCTCCATTTCACCTACAGGGAAACGCACTCAGATCTGGGGTTTGCAGCTAGGTCTCTCTGCAGCTGAAGCCTGGGGTCTTAACCACTTCCCTTCTTGGAAGAGGCAGGGTTGAAAATGATGCTGGGCTTGCGTCTTGGCCTGTCTAGAGCCTCTCAGTCATTCCCACTGTGGGTGTCACGTGTCTGTCATGAGTGGCAGTGCTCCCGTCCTGGAACAAGCAGGGCCACGACCATATGCTAGAACGGGTGACTCAGCAGAAGCGGTGCCTCTGGGAGCCTCTGCTGGCCTGGATGCCTCCCACTGGAGTTCCTCAACCTGCAACCAGGACACTGTGATGCAAGGCCACGGGGCTGGAGAGGGGCAGCATGGAAGTGCTTTCTCTGTCCCTCTCTTACTTATAGATCAAAAAAGGAAAATTAAAAGGGGGCCAGGGTGGGTGTCTGCCTGGGGATCCAAAGGATGAGGGCAGCCATGTGGGAGGGGTGATGGGAGGACCCATGTCTGGCTGGCTAGGAGAGACTTGGAAGCCAGACTGGAACTAGCATTCCAGAGAACCTGGAGCTGGCAGGGAATTAGAGGAAGGGGTGGGGAGGGGAACAGCCATAGGGACACCCTGGCTTCTGTAGAACGGGGTCCCAGACAGCCATTTGCAGTTGCTCTCCCAGACCCCCGGGGGGCCCAGAAGAACACAGGATGCTAAGCCTAGAAGGGAAAGGCTGCCAAGGGCAGTCTCCCAGGTGAGCATGGCAGCCGTCCCTGGGTTTCCACCACTAAGGCTTCCCGGGGCTGCCTGGCCCCTGTCCTGCCCTCCACTCCCAGCCTGAGAAGAAAAAACTGCCTATAACACTGGCCGAATTGAAACAGACGACAGCAAAGCTCTGACTCATGCCTTCCAATGCCAATAGACCTGATTTTGTATTTCCCAACGTTTTTATGAGCACCAAGAGCTATTAGAATTGCAAGAGGTGTGTGGGGAGGTGGGAGTGGGTGCGCACACTCGCAGCATGGGAAGCGGGGCTGAGACTCTTGTCGGGGGAGAAAGACCTCAGCCTCCCACCCCATCCCCGTTCACCTGAGAGGTGGTGGGAAAGGGAGTGGTCTGGGCTCTGGGCAGAGGCTCTAGGCAGGCCATACGGGTGGGGGACCTGGAGGAGAGGCATGTGAGTGGATATGGTTTGAGGGAGCCCCTAGAGCATGGGAATTGGGTTGTCATAAGGGGACTGGGCTTGGGTACAGCCCTGGCTGCCTCCTAGCACCCCACTCAGACTCCTCTCCTCCTGGGCCCTCACAAGTGGGTCTGCAGGTGTGTCTGCCAGGTCAGTGCAGGTTCCACTCGCTCCCAGGCCCAAGGCTACGAGATAAAATGCGAATCATTCCCTGCCTGTAGGCTCCTAGCTTGCTTCAGTACTTATCTTCCCTGTCATGGAGGGAGTGGGAGGTCTCCGATCCCTAGGCCGGCGTGGGAGCCGGAATTCTAGACCAGTTTATCCAGTAGGATTGAGCAGCTCACTCTGCATCTCAGATATGGGGGCTTGTAGCAGCAGTTCGGGTTTCATCTGGGTGCAGAGTGAGGCAGAGCTCTGGGATTCCAGGCTGCTTTTCCAGGTGAGGTGTCCCGTCCCGCCGGATCGTCAATGTAGGCCCTAGAAGAGGGAGTGGGAACTCGGGGGGACAAGAGACACGAGAAATGGAGACAAGACAGTATCCTGATCAAGTCTCGTTTATTGGTGGCAGTGTAATGCCTTATATAGACCGGCAGGGGCGGAGGTTGGGCCAGGGCGATGATGGTGGCCCTGCGGTGGGCGTGGCCAGGTAGGTTTCGGTTTCTTCGGTCGGACGTCATGTTGCGCCTGCGCCGTCGGTTGGTAATTTTCCCGGGCGCGGGATGGCGCCTGCGCTGTAAGTTGATCATTTTCCCGGGCGCGGGAAAATGGGTGATGAAGAACCCGGAAGAGCGCCATTTTGTACTGGCGTATGAGACAGCAGAACAGGGAAGAAAGTAAATCTAGGGAGGAGGCATAGAGTGGAAGCGTATAGAGCTCAGGCGTCAGTCGTCAGTTATAATCGCTATGGCCGGGCCACGCAGCTCCGGACAGTGAGGCGGCAAATGAATGGAGGTAGAGCTACGTGGGAAGACCTGCCAAGACTGAAAGATCCTGACAGACCTCAGGGCACCCCAAGGCTTATCAGTTAGTTGCTTGCCTGGGCCCCATAGCCCCTGTTGCATGTTGCATGCTTTTGGGTTTTTAACAACAGCAGCCAACTTGTGTGTCATGCTTCACAGTTGGCAAAGACCTTTCACACATTCTGCACTCTGAGGTGTGTCTATGAGGCTGCTCATGTTCCACGTAAGAGGTAAGCCCTTGGTGAGTGGCAGAGCCCAGACCCCTGCAGGGTTGTGGGCTCCACGCTGGGTGCTCTTCCCTCCTCTCAGCACCTGCGTGAGGAGTGAGGGGCACCACTTTCCCTCCCAGACTGAGAACTGCCCCCGCCCCCATGCCTGGGCATCACAGGTGACAGCGTTCTTCACGTGACCTCACCTCTTCTAGAGACTTCTCACGTCGGGGCAATGTCATGGGATGATATTTACTGTGAATAGGAAGTCCCACGCCCTCCGGGTTATAACTCCTCTACAGGATGGCCAGGGGCTTGAAGATGTTCTCAGTCACACACTCTGGCTTCTGCAGACCCTAATGCTGGACGGGGTAGGTGCCGGCAGTGCCTGGTGACTCAGACTGAGGCTGTGTGTAGACGCCAACCTGGGACAAACCCAAGTGTGGAGGAACTGGGAAGGCCCCTTTCTCTGGACAAGACCCTGGCCTGGTGGGAGGCCGCCCCCCCAGCTCTGCCACCGCGCTCTGGGGATGTTTCTGATGCATTTGTCGCTTGCCCCACTTGCCCTTTTTGACCTGTCTCCTGCTTCTCTGTAGTTACCAGCAAAGCCTCAGAAGCACTCGCTGCTTTAGGGATAGGAAGGTGGGGAGAGGCTCTGAAGCTGCGGCTTCCTCTTCTGCAGAAGGACGACTCCCACCCCATTCCTTCCCCAGGTCCCCGGAGCTGGGCTCTTGGTCACGTCCCAGAGCAGTTTGGCCTGGAGGCAGGACGTGTGCAGCGCCGCAGGCCTCAGGTCCTGGGTGGACCTCGATGGGTGCCCTGGGTTTTTGGTTCCCAGTCTGCACTGCCTCTGCTTTGATAGAGATGCACCTGCCCTGAGTTCCCTGAGGATTTTTCTCTTGTGCTTACAACCGGATTTCTGGTTTTGCTTCTACTCCAAGCCTGGTCCCTGGCATTTGTCTCTCACCTGTGGTTTTGCATCCCATTCCTCGCCCTGTCATTTCTTCTTGTGCCAAGGCTGCAGCTGCTTGCTGGTCCCTCATCCGTAGCTGCCCACCTGCCCAGGCCTGCGCCTCTCCCACCTTGGATTCATGTGCAGCGCGTTCCCCACACTCCTGGCCCTGGGGTGAATACTGAACCTGAGACTGGGATAGGAGGAGAGAAAGCTCTGTGCAAGGAAGGGTGGGCCCAGGAAAAGGAGACAGAGATCAGCTTGGGGGCTGCAGGGATGTCCTGAGAGGTACATGGCAGCCCATGCAAGCTCTGTTTCAGGGACCCTGCTCTCCTGGCCCAGCAGAACAGTCCTACAACAGGGTGACTGGCCCCCAGGCCACGGGGACCTGAGACAAACTTTTAACATAATTACAAAACTTGCTCTAATTAGGCAGGACAACTAATTAGCTGTCAGTATGACCCTACGTCAACTAGGTCACAGGGTCAATAGAGTTTAATCCCCTGCCTGCGGTTACCCTACCCTGCAGCCAGGTATCAGATTACAGACTTGGATAAACTGGAGATGAATGTCATCGTTTATTTTGAACAATAATGTCTGTTTGTGTTTCATTCCACAAAAATTGCCTCTTGGCATCATCAAGCTCAGTCTCTGGTCAGTCATCCTCCAGTCCTGCGCTGCCATCCTTCTAACCTTCTCACCCTCATGCCTGCATTCTGCCTGCTGTCTGCCTCATAAAGAATCCCAGTTCTCAACCCCTCCGATTTCTCTCATTTCATCCGCTCCTTCCTGGCGTTGCTTTCAGCTCCCAAGGTGAATCCCCTCAACATACCATTCACTTGCAAATATAATACCTTCATCCTTGTGCTTCTCCCACACCTGGCCAGCAACACTGCAGTCCTGGAGCAGGCCAGCCATCCACCGACACCACCCCTGCACCTGGGTGCTGAAAAGTCCTTCGGCCACGGGGCGGTGACCACAGCAATGGCACTGCCTCCAGCGCCCAGCAGAGTCTCCCACCCCCAGCAGTGTATCACCTGTGGTCCAGAGGAGCCTCCTGAGCTCTAAATCTAGATCTCCATTGCCCAGTGGACATCTCCTCATGGGGTCTGGCAGGTACCTTGAGCTCAACAGGATGGTAGAACTGCCTTCCTGCATGTCCCCAGTTTGATCAGGGGCACTGCCATCCACCCTGTTGCCTAATCAACACCCAGGTCTCCCTTCTCTCCCTAACTTATTACCTCCAATTGATCACCCAGTTCTGCTGACCCTCCCTTCCAGATGTCCCATCCACCTCTCCCCTGTCGCTTGCCCTGGGTCAGGCTCCCACCGTCTTTCCAGGATGACCCTTGTGGCTGCCTGGAGGGCCACCTTAGCCTGGGCTCGCTACTCCCAGCATGTCCCAACCCTGGCCGAAGTGAGCCTCTCAGGGGCCAATAGAATCCCGCCTCTCCTCGAGGAGCAGCAACGCCTCCATGACCTGCCCCGTCCACCACTTGATCCTCGGCCACTACCTGGCCACATGGAACCTTCAGGGAACCGTGTCTCTCCTGCCTCTCCACCTTCAGCCCAGATCCTCTTCCTTCACCACATCCTCTGCTGGCAACTGACTACTGACCGTCCTTCACAGTTCATCACAGACCTCACGTAGCCCAGGGGTGCTTCCTTGACACCACCCTCAAATCTGGGTTTTGGGCTGTCCCCCAGTGCTCTCCAAGCCCCCACGTTTACCTCTTACAGCACAGATTACTTGTCAGTGTGTGCTATCTCAGCTCCTCTTTCTCTCCACCAGAGGTCTGCGGCTGTTTCTCTCATTTCCAGATGCCTGGCCTATGTGGGAAAACAATAGTATATGATTATGGAATCAATCATCAAGGAGGACTTCCTAGAAGAAGCAGCTATTAGGTGGTGTTTTGTAGGCAGACACGAACTGGTGTGAAGAGGAGGATGAGAATGACTTGCATAGAGTAGAGTCTCTGACTCAGAGCCCTTCAAGAGCCAGGGGAAACTGAGGGAAATGACTAGACATATTTGACAAAGGGGGGACACCAGCAGAAGACATGCTCCACCAAAAGACGTCACATTCAGGTATGAATTCAGGACTGCAGAGGCCAAAAACGCACAGACAAAGCATGTCTTGGTTGGAGGTGGCAGGGCCAGGGTGGTGGTGGCAAGTGTGGCATAGAGTAAGGCTGTTGAAATGGAACAGCTGGTGGGGTCCTTAGGAAACCAGGAATAGGGCATGACTTCCTGCAAGATGGGCTCTCTGTCGTTCATCCCGGCCCTGGCAGAAAATCCAGGTATCTTGGAGGCCCTGGAATTTGAGGGATCCACTCAGAGGCTGCCAAACTGGCCTTGGCAGCCACAAACAGGAATGTCATACCAGAGACATAGGAGGCAGGGATGGCCTTCCGTTTTTGGAGCTGATCATAATTCCAAAAGACACAATCCTGAATGTTGAAATCCTGAAAGTTCAAAATCCCAAAAAATAGGCCAGGCGCAGAGGCTCATGTCTGTAATCCCAGCACTTTGGGAGGCTGAGGCAGGTGTATCATTTGATACCTCACTTGAGGTCAGGAATTTGAGTCCAGCCTGATCAACATGGTGAGATCCTGCCTCTACCAAAAAATACAAAAATTAACCAGGTGTGGTGGTGCACACCTGTAATCCCAGCTTCTCAGGAGGCTGAGGCGGGAGAATCTCTTGAATCCCGGAGGTAGAGATTGCAGTGAGCCAAGATCATGCCACTGCACTGCAGCCTGGGCAGCAGAGCAAGACCCTGTCTCAAAAAACAAAATCCTGAAAATATAATTCTGGAAAAAATAATAAAAACATTCATTAAAACATATTCATTTACATTTAAAAGGGGATTTATATTGGAAATATATAAAAACACAACAGAATACTTTATAGTGTACATTACACAATAAAATAGGCAATGATAACATATATATTTTTGCAAGCATAAACACTCAGGTAATGACGGTTGCATGGTTATAAGAGTCATGAGCAGATGAACCATATTCATAAAGAAACAGGTCAAAAAGGGCAAGACATAAATGCATGTCACCAAGGTTGGTACTTGTGTGCACCCAGCTTTATAACTGTGGTCATCTGAAACAACAGGATGAACAACCAAAGTCTTTCAATGAGTTTGATCAAAAACTTCGATGGATCACCACCAAAAATGCGGTTGTTTATGCGTGGAGCTGCATTCCAAGCTGCGAGGAGCTGAGATTCCAAGAAAGTTTAACTTCACAAAGGCAGATGTACAGAAAGGACATCTCTGTAACTACTGAGAAAATTTCAGTGTTTTTTTGTGCATACACAATGCATCCACAAAAGCTGATATTGTGATAATGCACTTTCAGGGAGCCAAATTTGAAAACAAACAAGAACAAACAAACCAAAAATCAAAAACCAAACCAAACAAACAAAAAAGCCCAAAACCCTTCATAAAACAAATTAGAACTCTCTAAAAGTCTATACAACTTGGCCTCCAGTCTTGCAAATATCGCAAAGATGAAATACCTAGAATAGGGAACTGTGAAAAATAATGCTCAAAATTTAAAATAGTGAAAAAGAAAAGAAAAAAACAACAAAAAAACTATCCTGTGATTGTGATTTTGGGGATTTTAGATGTTAGGGGTTTTAGACTTTAGAGATTACGATCTTTCAGGATTTTAGCATTTGAGGTTAAGCGTTTGCGATTTTGTTTTGGTCCAACTCTTTTTCCTCTCTGAGACCTTATAGGCAGATGTGGAGACCACATCACTGTCAGGGGAGCAGGAGCTGGGGTGGAGGTCTTTGGGACCTTGAATGAGATGAGTTCTCAAAGCTCCTTTCAAAGAATAACAGAAATTGTAGGACTTAAGCCTCCAAGTGAATAAAAGCCTCGTAAACACATTGCTTTAGGAGGTTAAAGAGCTACGCTGGATATCCCAGGAATGCCCCACCTGTTGCCTCTAGTTTTTGGGGGAAGACACCATTTTAGCCACCAGAGGGCGCTCAGGTTGCAGGAATGGTTTCTCAGACCTGCTGCTTGGAGGAGTTGAATAAGGAATCTAAGGAAGGGTGGCTGGAGCATGGGAGCCACGCAGATGGGACTCCAAGACTGAGTCCGACCTTTTCAATCACTCTGCCATTGTCCCCAGCTAAGGCCATTAATTAATTCATTTATTCAAGGAACATTTGCTCTGTACCCAGGAGCCCTGAGCTAATAAGCTTTGTTTTTGTTTGTTTGTTTTGAGACAGAGTCTTGCTCTGTCACCTGGGCTGGAGTGCAATGGCATGATCTTGGCTCACTGCAGGCTCTGCCTCCTGGGTTCAAGAGATTCTCCAGCCCAGCCTCCTGAGTAGCTGGGATTACAGGCGCTCTGCCACCATGCCTGGCTAATTTTTGCATTTTTAGTCAAGATG